TCTCTTTTTTGAAATAGGTCTATTTCTATAAAGATCTACACCTACATATGGTTGTTTGTTTTTGTTTTTTTTTTTTTAATTTCAGTTGTATTTTGAAGAATTATAACTGTTTCTCAGATGGATCTGTTTCTCAGATGGATTTTCCAAGTGGGCCAAGCCTTTCTTTTTTTTCCCCCAGAATGACAGTAGTTCTCTCTCCCTTCTTTTCCTTCCAGGGAGACCTCAAACTTGTTAACATTTGAAAAAATGCTGTAAAGTATTAACACCTAGAGGTGTTCAGTAATGTAATTTCTCACAGTTGCTGTAGGAAATATTGGCAAATTATATCCCTCAGTTGAGATGGTTTGTGTTCCAGTCCTATTTCTCATCAAAACATTTAGTTTAATGAGAATTATCATACTCAGAACTGGACATATTATTTTCCCAAGCTTTTCTAAAAGACTGCTGACAGCTGCTGAAAGATGGCATATCTCTTTTTACCTAACAAAGGTTATTTAATTTCTTCTCCATGACAAAGTTTCTGGTAGTTTGTCCTCAATGCTTGTAGTTAAATTTTGAAACCACTCCTTCACCAAACTAATATGAGCAGACAATATTGGTAAAACAAAAGCATTTACCATTAATATGCTTTTGCCAATCTCTTGTCAAGACTTGGGTAGGGGTGAACCCAGCGATCTTCTGCTTATGCACTCTGCCCATGAGCAATTCCTGAGTAAAGATTATGGGACAGCAAATTGAGACATATGTGCTACCATGAATTTTTTATGGGTGCATGCCTCTCCATGTATCAAAACTCACTGAAGTCAGCATGACTCTGAGCCCAGCTTGAAGCCTGCCTGGGCAGGGCTTATCATGGGGCTGTGACACTGATGGGACATAGTGACAAAGCTGCAGTAAGAACCAGGCACCTTCACAGACCCCTTGCTTAGGTGACTCTTCACATGTGTCTCGAAATTTCCTAAAAACTAGGTCCACTCCACAAATGAGTTTTGCTTGTGCTTTGAATAGTCACTCAAGACAGGTTTCACTGCGCAAATTTGTGCACATGTACTATCTTCAGCTCTCATGATAGGCAGGTATCTTCTGTGCAGAGAGGCAACGCTTACAAAAAGGACATTCATTATCATAACAAATACAGAGAGAGCAGAAGACAATGCTTTGTCTCTCACTCTTTAATAGAGGAGTATAACTATATAAGCTGAGAGTCACAACGTGTACCTAATGACACCTGCTGTCTCTGCTGTTTGATATACAGCTCTTATTCTTTTATTCTTTCTTCTTTAATCTTGCAGAATAAAATTATTTTTAACCCTCAAGAAGAAATATCTTTGTTTGGTTGGTAACTATTGTTCCACAGATTCTTTGGCAGCTGATGGCTTGGTTTCATCATTTATATAACTAAAACTTCACTCTAGCATTTTGTTGGTTTTTTGTCTTAAAATTATGGTGTGCAGAAGGACAGCCTTCACTTTCTATATTAAAAAAAAAAAAAAAGAAAAAAGATACTGTCTCTTTAATGAAAGAAAAACATCAATATACTGTATTACTGAATGTAAATGCAATAAGGAATAACATAGCTCTGGTTATGTTATATGACATTTGGCTTAGCAGTATTAACATATTGCACAAAATCTGCATTTTCCCTATTGCAGAAAATAAGACGATAAAAGACATGGGAAATTAATTTTTTCCATATGATCATAAAATAAATATTATTTTTTTCTTTTTCTTCTCATCAGTCATTTGCAGAAAGATTTTAGTATTACTTCTTTGTTAAGCCAGCTCTTTATCATGTATGTATTAAGCATACAGTACAAGGAGAAATGGAACAAGATGGCAGTTATAGCAGTGGCAAGATGCAAATTTATTCTGAAAAAAAGTAATATGCGCACAATATCAAGCATGCTTAAGTTTGTGCCAGGAAAACTATTACGAATGAAGAATGGATGGGATGGAATTTTGCATCATACATGATTACATGTTGCTTAACTTCATAGAAGAGTCTTTGTCTACTCCTGATGTCCCAGGTACCGCCAAGAGAAGCTGCTTACCACACTGCTAGAGTGAAAATGGAAACAGATACCCCAGCAGTATTCAACTGCAACATGACTCTTTGTTTCAGAAATTAAAGAAATAGACCTCAAAAAGATGACAGAGAAAATTCACAGACCATTGAACTGCAGGCACTAACTCCAGGTAGGGAGAGGGGGATGGATTTATTACATCTTGTACTTGTAATTGAAAGTCTGTAATTGTTTTCTGCTTCATTTTCCCCAAGTTTAATTAGGCTACATTACGCATGTGATGTTGTTGTCACTGTTTTTCCTCCTGTCTCTCTCGTATTGTATGACACATGACTGAGTGTAGCCAAGCAGTGGAGGACTCATTTTTCACTGACACCACTTGAAAACATTTTTATAGAAAAATAAGTGATGAAAAATGAAGAAGAGCAGAAAAGAAGAAATAAAATACCTTAAGGATAGAGCTCTACATTAATTCACCATGAAGAAAAAGAGAAATAATAAAAACTCTTCTTCAGGTGCCAATTCAATAGAGATGAACCGGACTAGGTACTGTATTGGTACAGTGTAAAAATAGATGACAGTGAGTAATGGTGTGAACAAAAAACCATGAGGAACATCACAGAAATGGATGTTGGATGGCCTTTGCACAGCAGAGGTAGATAAAGGTTATAACAAACTGTTTACTGACCACGTACACTTACTAGAATTAAGAGGTCAGTTGAACAAGAGCTCACCTAGTAAGAGCTTTCTCAGTAGTGTGACTCATCAGCTGTTGTACAGTACCAGAGCACTGCCCAGTTATTGCTCCATCACTTTTCAATAACATTTCTGTCCTTCAAAAGTCTACATTCTACCATTAGTTAAGGCTTTTTCTTTTGCATTTCTACATTTTCCCCCAATTTTGCATCAATTCATTGTAATTAATACATGTGCCTCTAACAGAAAAGAAAATAAATAATAAAGCACCATGTTTTATTGAACAAAATATAGCATGTGCAAGGAAGGGAAGGGAGGAATTATAGAAACAAACCAGTGCTGAAGAATTTTGCATTAGCTGGTGCTTTTTTTGTTGTCGTATTTGCACAGATCATTTTAGGCTCCTCAGTCCAGGTTGTAGCAAAACACTATTAAAACAAATACTCTTGCAAAATATTTGAGCTTCGCAGCTTAACATGTGCATCTTGAACCGCTTAAGCAGCATGGTTATCTTCTTTTTGTTTTTCTCCAGAATTTAACAGACCGTGAATTGTATACAAAAACGCATTATGCACCAGTGATTAAATGTTCTTACAACATTAATATTTATCAAGGGGTATTTCATAGCTAGAAAGTAGGTAACTATATTTTATTTCCTAAGAGAACACTTTCTATAGTTTTCCTTCATTTCCCAGCTACACAGCAAACATCTCTAAAGTGCACTTCCCAAGTGTAGTTAGAGAATAGGAAGGAATGTAAAGTTTTTAAAAACAGCCCTTATTAACTTTTCCTTCCATTGATTCTACTGTAAACTCTAAAAAGCCTTTTTAAAAAGCAAATTCTCATACACTCAGCAGGTGAAATGTTCCCACAAAAATAAAAGTAAACAAATTCAAAACCACCCCAAACAACGAAAAACCAGCAATCATATTACAATCTTTTCTCTTGACTACTCATATCCTAGTATATATTTACTGTTTTTATTGCACATTTATGAAAACGGTTGTCTTATATATTAAAAAAAAAATAGTTTCTTTATCTGTGCTAACACATTCTTGTGCATCCTTAATAAACTAGAGTTACTTTCAACAACATGTAGGTAATAGAAAAACAATGCAATCAAACCAAGGAGATAATTTGTATTGTAGATGTTAAAAGACTTCTAGCGTAATTTTGTTGTGACAAAAAGAGTTGAATTTTGGAAGGTCTTGGCTCCCATTTGTTATGGAAAGCTGCTGGTTATGTGACAGCAGGAGAACTCAAAACGTGATTCACAATGAATGTCAATCCTTCACCTCCAATATGAAGGCTTCCCAACTATTCAACTTGCTGAGCATAACTGGTTTTACTTAACATATCTAGAAAAGGCTGCTCCTGTTCAACTGACCAGTGAGAAAGGACTGGACTTCTTCAAAACGGGTATTGGAGCAACAGTTTGTTATATATTTCTTTATACTTTTTAACTGTCCGATCCCACCTTGTAAGGAGAGCACTTGGTTTTTTTTTCAGCTAAAAGGAACCCCCTTCATGCTCCTTTTGGGTTTGCTCAGTCAACTGTTTTGTGCAACAGTGGCAGAGGCACACTGGAATTGTGTACCCATTCATTGTGATTACACAGACAGAAGCAAATGTATGTTGTCTGTGACAGGAGATGGGAAAGGGAAAGGAGATGAATGGTTCCCATGTATAAGAGGACAGTAAGGTTTGTTTGGGGTTCTTTTTGTGGCTGCTTTTTTTTTTCTTTTCCTTTTCTTCTTATTTTTCTCTTTTTTGGTTAAATTTCATTTTATTGTTCTTTTTGTGGGTTTTTATTGGGGTTTTTTGTGGGTTTTTTGGGGTTTTTTGTTGTTTTTTCTTTTTTTTTCTTTTTTTTTCCTGTTTTTTTTTTTTGCTATGTCATGAAATCATAGCAGTCATTCCTCTAATAGAAACTGACAAGACATAAAAGACAGAACTATCAGATGAACACACACAATGACTAGAAATATATCGACAGAGAAAAGACTTAATTTAGCTTTGAGAAACTGTCCCAAAAATAAAATCCTGTATTAACAAGTGCAAAAAACAAACAAAAAAAAAGAAACTCCAAACATTAAAACACAGTGTATAAAATGGTGTGAGAAAGGTAAGTCACCAAACAGCCTTTTAGTCAATAAAAAGCTGTGTTTTTGTGTCCTTGTTGTTTGGGTAGTGGCCCATTCTTTTCATTTTACCCAAAAGGTCATTCAAGAAGAGATCTGAGGGTAAAGCACTCAGTCCTTGCTTTTTTTGACTGTAGTGATTCGGGCCTGTTGTGTTTCTATCATGTAAGATGAATCCTTTCTTTTATTCCTCATTGGTTGAATTATCTTCCAAAGTTGTTATGCTTCCAAAGCCCAGTCCTGTTGAGTTCTGTGCTGCTGAGACTGTAAGTACTGTATGTAAGAGAATTAATACAAGAACACACAGTTTAAGTCTGCTGTTACACAGTCTTGATGCTGATGAAACTGTGAGCGATGTCCTGTGACACATCGTTGAGCCACTTGTTTTTATAGTCCCTTTGGGTTGATGATCTGATAATAGTCCCCATCTGACATCACAGCATTCTGGTTCTGCATTGGTTGGATAGTTTTCATAGAGCCCTGTAGGGTAAACACAAAAGAAAAATAAATACCAGGCACGAGGATTGGCAGGAGTAGTAGCTTGAAGGAACAGTCGACATTTAATCTAAACTTTTGAATCCATATCTCTGGGTGAGACTGAGGCACTCAGAAGTCCTGACATTCTGTATACTCAGAGATGCTGAAGGACCGTGCATCATCAAACAGGAAACAGCATGAAAAGATCATTCAGCAGAAGTATGACACTGAGCACGACTGTGTAAAGAAGCAACATTAAAAAGCAATTATTGATATTTGAATGATGAGAGTGTTTGATTTCTTCCTTTTTGGGAAGTAACAACCAATGGTGAGGTAAGAACTAATCACCCAGGATGTTTCCACAAAATTTTGACCTTGAAGTTCTTTTAGTATGTGAGCACATAAAGACAGGAATTAAATAACAAATAATGATGTACTGATGATATAGGCTATTTTGATTTTCAAACCTATGGAAATGAAATTCCATCACAGTAACAGGTTCCAAACAGAGCTGTTTAGAACCTACTTGGTTAGTCTAGCTAATCTGGCCATTTAACTAGTGTTCAAATGGAAGAATGTTGGAGAAAAGCTTTTCTCCATTTAAAATGATTGTAGATTAAATTCTTCAGTAAATAATATACTCTGTGGTAGAACTAGGTTTTTCTAGGGAAGAAAAAAAATCTATCTGTGCTGAAATATTAAGATAGTGATTTTGAAAGCAACTTTATTCTTTGGAACAAGAATTATATTTTCTCAAAAATATCACAACAAAAATATTACTTTCAAAAAGCAATTTAAGTGTAACATTCTTGGGTCCAGGCACCAGATTTCTTGCACTTTGTGAATAACCTGCAAAGAAAAACAGTACACCTTAACATATGATAAACCTGAATGCTTTGGTTCCTACTTCCATAATGCTGATCTGCAATTAAACAAAATATGTGTTAGGTATGCTAAGAATGTTAAGGTGCCTTGACATTTTTACATAGCTGACACAATTGTCTGTTATGTTATATCTGAGTCCAAATAAAGTTGAATTTGTTTTTGGATTTAACCAAATTTTTAAAGATATCGGAATGAAAGCAGCTTGTTTCATGTTCTATATATTCAGAGTTTATTCTATGCTAAACCTGACCAATTTTTCCACTTCTGTAGTCAGAAACCTAATGCAGCATTCCAAAGGTTGAAAATTATTTATTCTTACTCTAGATCATAATTGAAAGGATCACATTTTTCTTTAAGAAATTCTATTGCATTTTGGAACTTTTGGACAATTGCTCATTGAAAGCATAATAAAACAGTCTTACTTTCTGAGACCCATCTTTTGGTGTTTGTGTGCATAAGTCTGTTTTTAAACATTGCAACATACAGGCAGTGCCTCCCAAAGCAGGGAGCTGTGATTTGTTCTGTGAACTGCAGCAGCTCAAATGATTAGTAGTAATTGAAGAGACACAGAGAATGGTTAATGCTTTGATCCCACTGAGGCTTGTTTACTTTTCAGACTATATTTTCTGCCTTTCTTGTTACTGGAAAAACCAGACTTCCTTTGAAATCAAAGCTATGTATATAAGTTGGCAATCAAAAGGTATTTATATAGTTCATATGCACTTACTGAATTATAAATAAATTGATGACAACTTCACATTCAGAGATGAATTAAACTTGTTCCTTAATGTAAAATTACATTTCCTCTTTATTTCAATTCAGCAATTGAATTTAGGTTTTGAATTTGCAGTTACATATTAGATAAACAAATAACTGTAGGACCACTATTCATATGACAGTGTAGAAGATTTAGATAAATTCAGTAAGACATTTTGTACTGTAACACATGTTCTTCACCACACACTTTGTAGCCATAAACATAAGCTTTTACCCCTTGGATCTAATTAGTCCATCTATTAAGTCAGAGGTTTACAAATATGTGACTTAACTAGGTAAGCTGGCTACATCTGCTTGGAAAATCAAGAAGGAAAAACTAGTTTGTTCTTTTATCAAAATATTCACAGAATCTTGGAATCTCTTGGGTTGGATGAGACCTTAAAAGATCATCGAGTTTCAACATCTCTGCTTTGTGCACGGACACCCTTCACTAGATCAGGTTGCTCAAAGCCCCATCCAACTTGGCTTTGAACACTTCCAGGGATGCGGAGTCCACAGCTTCACTGGGCAACCTGTTCCAGTTCTTCATCACCCTCACAGTAAAGAATTTATTTCTAAAATTCCTTCTCAATATCTAATCTAAACCTACTCTTTCAGTTTGAAAGCCCCTTGTCCTATCACCACTCGCTATTTTTAAAAAGTCTTTCTCCATCTTTCTTGCAGGCTCCCTTCAAGTCCTGAAAGGCCCCAATTAGGGCAGATAAAGCCTTTTCTTTTCCAGGGTGAAGAATCACAGTTCTTTTAGTCTTTCCTCATAGGAAAAGTGTTCCATTCCTTTGATCATCTTGGTGTCTGTCCTCTGGACTTGTTCCAACAGGTTGATGTCCTTCCTGTGCTTAGGACCCCAGAGCTGGGTATGGTGTTCCACGTGTGGTCTCACCATAGCAAAGTAGAGGGTCAGTGTCACCTCCTTTGCCCTGCTGGCCATGCTGCTTTTGATGCATCCCAGGACACATTTGGCTTTCTGCACTGAGAGCAAACATTGCTGGCTCCTGTCCAGCCTCTCATCCACCAACAGCCCCACATCCTTCCAGGCAGGGCTGCTCTTGATCTGTTCATCCCGCAGCCACTTTTTATATCAGGGGTTGACTCAACCCAAGCACCCTGTACTTAGTCCTGTTAAACCTCATGACATTCCCATGGGCCCACTTCTTGATCTTGCCTAGGACTCTCTGGATGCCATCCCATCCTTCAGATGTGTCAGCCACTCCACTCATTTTGGTATCAGCTGAAAATTTACTATTCAATCTATTTATTGATGAAGATATTAAATAACACTTCACTGTAGAAGACTTGGTTGATCAGGAAGGATTGACCCTTGTTGAAGCCATGCTGACTGTCTCAAACCACCTCCCTGTTCTCCATGTGCCCTAGCACAGCTTCTACAAGGATCTAATTCCATGATCTTCCCAGCCACAGAGGTGAGTCTGACAGGTTTGTAATTCCCAGCATCTTCTTTAACCTATCAACTCTTACCCTTTTTAAAGATGGGCTCAATGTTCCCCTTTTTCCAGTCACCTGGGACTTGACCTGATTGTCATGGCTTTTTAAATATCACAGAGTGCTGCTTGGCAACTACATCAGCAAATTCCCTTGGGTCTCTGGGGATGTAATTCATTGGGTCTCACACAGACTTATGTACATTCATGCTCCTCAGGTGGTTGTGAACCTGATCTTTACTTACAGACTTTTGCTCCAGTCCCAATCCTGCTGTCTGTCCAGTTAAAAGACAAAGGAAGAGAGGTTACTATTCAACACTGAGGTAAAAATGTTGTTGAGTACCTCAGCCTCCTCCTCATGCATTGTTCTCAGTTTTCCAACATTGTTTATGGGGATACACCTTCTTTGGCCTTCCTTTCCTTGTTAATATATGTATAGAAGCCTTTTTTTTTATTCTTTGCATGCCTTGACAAGTTCAGTTCCAGCTCCTCTTGACCTTTCTTGCCCCATCCCTACATAACCTGATTTCATCTCTATGCTTTTCCAAGGTTGCCTGTCCTTGCTTCCACTGCCTGTGCACTTGCTTCTCTCCCTTTTGTTTGACTTCTGTTTTTTTAAAATATTAAATATGTGGGTATAAGAAATAAAAACTATCTGTACCCACTAAACCACCAAGGCTTTACTTTTCTTTATAGACTTTATAGTTCAGTTTGCAAACAACATTATTTTAGATTACTTGGATGTTTGTTAACTGTATTTCTGAGGCTGACCAGTCAGCTGTTATCGGCTTGAAATGTACTTTGCTTTTCACTTTTTACTTAAAATTCTCAGTTCTGTGTCTTCATTTCCCATTTTTTTTCTCAGCAGTCAGCTATATTCCACAGGCAGAAATCTTAGTCCATATGGACTAAGATTGTACCTTTATTATAACCAAGGATCTAGAATTTGCCAGGAGACTTTTTGATTTCAAACCATTCTCCAGACAGATACACTATCACTCAAAAAGGCCATGTAAAAGCTCTCTCTTTTCTTTGTAACCAGCTAGGGTTTTTTTCCACATGAAGATAACATTTTGATGATCAGCACAGAAGTTACATCTGTAGGGACTGTGTGTTACTAATGTTGATGCAAGTATTAAAGTTACTGGTTCCACTGAGATTGTTAATGGAGACATGAATAGATGAATCCTGTATGTCCTGCTCAGCTGAATCAGACTGAAAGAAAAAGGAGTGACAGCATGAATATCATATTCACTTTGTGGAATGTGCCTTGGGGAAAAAGCAGCAAAGTCCAAGCAAGTTCTTACACAAAAATTGAAATCACAAAGACTGTTGATGCATGCATGGTCTGCTGATTAGGTAGGTAGGTGACCATCTAACTCAAAGATTTTGAAGGCTTCTGCCTGAGCAGTTGCAGAAAACAGCCTGTAAAAGCAGTGGTTGCATTCCTATGACTCTCCTCAGTACTGTCAGGATGTGTGACACTTGTGGCTGGATTTGAATCTGCAGCAGTGGTCTGACTTGGCTTGTTGGTTTATTTGTACAGAAAGAGTTATATATATATGTATAGTGTTTTGCATTATGGGAAACTGGTCTGGTTGATATATGTGTTGTCATTGCTGGATAAGTATTTGTGAAGCTGCAGAAACAAAACAGATCTTATGATATGTTATGCTTTTTCCTCTTGCTTTCTGTAAGACACTAATCTGTGTTCATTTTTCACATAGATTTCTGATTATTTTTGAGACATAGGTGAAACTTCTTGTGCTTGAGGAAAAGACCTTGAAACTAGGTAAGTGGATGTAGTATACCAGAAGTTTTGAATACTCCATTTTATTGTGAAGCCCAAAGTAAATAATGTCTGCCAAGAGTGATCCATCCAGCACTGACATCATTGTATCA